CATATTTTTTCATAAGTATGCATCGGGTAATTATTGTCATTTATTCTGACCATTTCCAATCGTTTTTGGTCCCGATATGAACATTTGCGTAACATGGGCGGAACATGGGCGGAATACCGCCACAGTTACGCTCAAAATAAATTTCCAGGGTTACGAATTCAACAATTATTAAACAAGATCGAAAAAAATTGTCTCTCGAATATATACTCAAACGATTGAGAATTAGCTGAAACGTCGAGAATCATTGGTCCCACTGAACCTTTCTTTTCAACAGTTTAATAATTGTGGAATTTGTTGAAAAAAAAGGTTCCGAGGGACCCATAAATCTCAACGTTTTAGCTACTTTCGAATCGTTTGAGTATATATTCGCGAGACAATTTTTTCCGAATTTGTTGAATAATTGTTGAATTTGTTGACAAAACAGGAAGCGTTAAAAAAAAAGGTTCGGAAAGACCAATAATTCTCGATGTTTCAGCTGATTCCCAATGGTTTGAGTATATATTCGCGAGACATTTTTTCCTGAATTGGTTGAACAATTTTTCGAATTTATAAAATTGATGTTTTTCATTCCGTCTATTGGTTGCTTCTCCATCGTACCCCCATTCCGCTCTATATTGGATATTTTCCTTCGTCACGGTTTCCTCGAATTATCGACATTCTCGTGTTCGCTGGTCTGTCCGAATTATCGAGACTCTCGGGTTCGCGCTCTGCCTGACCTATACCCACGGCCTCCGAAAATTACCGACACTCTTGACCTCGCGACTTGTCTGAATTATAGGTACACCCGCGAAATTAGTTCTACCAGTGCGGCTACGAGATTTCGCGGTTGGAGCCTCGCCATTGGCGTTAGGAATCTCTCCTATAATCTTTGCTAAAAAACTGGGCAACTATGCATTTGGAAGAAATATAATTTTATAATTAACTTCTCAAACTTTTTTTTTGTCATAAATATTCATATTTATTATATAACGAAGAGCAAGTGTAATGAAAAGGCATCAATGATGTAATGGCTGCAATCTGATTGGTTAAAATGAGAATTAAGAAAAAAAATTTTCTCCATTCTCAAAAAATTTTTCTGCTCGCAGGAAGCCAAAATAATAATATTTTGGAATATTATGTAAAATTGATGGAATCTTTGAATGCAATAGTGAAGATCATTAATAAGGAAAAAATACATGGCATTTCAGTGAAAAAGCGTCAGAACTCCGCGGATAATTTGCCCAAATAAATAATTGAGGTGAGAAAAGATTATTGTGTCGGACTCTGTAGAGAATTCCGGCATAAATTGTAATTAGAATTGAAAATTGAATCTTAGTCACTAACCAGACATTTAAAATTAGGAAATCGGTCGTTGATAAATTTTTAAATTAAACAAATGGTCAAATGGCATCCATTATGGTCATTAATCCGAACATTCATCACCATGACAACGGTGATGAATAATTAATTCTGCAGAAAAAAGGATGAAAAATTAAGAAAGTGAAGTAAAAAAAGCTTAATAAAAAGACATCAACGTCCATTCACAGTATAGCAGATGAAACAAGTGAAATATTTATATTATATTCTCACTTTCTGAGCTTTTCAATGATTTTTATTTGCCTATTTCCAGTCTGTATCGGACTATCAAAGATTGAAACTGATTACACTGTGTGAATATATCCATTCTCTATGTTAAGGATATGTACCGTGATTTTTGTCGTTCAAAACGGAACTGATCAAATATTTTATCCTATCTTAAAACTTGACAAATTATTTTTCAAATTATACAAGTTTCACTGAGGTTTAACGAGTATTTTTCATGTAAATGGCTGTTAAAACGCCAATTTACTTCAACACTATTCATTCAACAAACGTCAATAAGAAAACTTGCCATTTGAAAAAATATATGATAATTATCAACGATAAGCGAAAGAAATACAAATTACACAGTTGAAATTAAAAAAAAAATAATCATTAATTATTCATTATCCCGGCGATTGTTAGGATTGCCTCAACAGATTAATTTTTTGGGTTGTAAGATATCCAATATATGATAATCCATTATTAAAATGGTTCTCAAGCGCCTGGGCACCGCACGCGCCTTTGATATTGTCGTAGCACGAAAAAAAAGCATTGCTGTGTGACTTCTAATTACAAATCGGAACTACGGCACAAAATTGAGAATATTGGATTTGTTTTATGAAGTGTTTACTAGTGTGTCCAAAGTAACGATATCAAGTCATGAAATTTTTATTTGCGCTTAAGAAAAATCATCTATGAGGTTAAGTATGCGGTAGCGCTTCACGACAGGTCATTCCTAAAATTTCAATAACACCTGCATGTTTAAGATAAAGTGGTATTACAGATTTCGTTTATTTGGAATTTCCAATTAATGAGATATGTCCATTATTAGATGAATTTTTTTAGTCTCAAAGAAAGTTCCTTAATTTAGTTTTTCTTCAAACTAATAACCTTCGAGATAATTATATAATTGCAAATCATAATTTCAATTGCTTTTTGACTTTAGAACACACCCTTTCATCCAAACTTGTCCTGACATTTAGGTTGATCTTGTTACCGAAAATGGGCTGTTCCGAGCAGCAGTTCCGTCTGGCGCATCCACCGGTATACACGAGGCGCTTGAGCTACGTGACAATGATAAATCTAAGTACCATGGAAAGTCCGTCTTGAAGGCTGTGGATAACATCAATAGCATTATTGCTCCCGAGTTATTGAAGGTAAATGTTATGAATTCTATTACGGTCATAGTGTTTTATCACATTTTGTTCAATAGTGAATCAGTGGAAACTTTTTTTTTGCTTGGATATCTCCTGATCGAATAAAATGCACTGAAGATTTCAACTTGCTGCCATGAGCGAATAAGCGTGACGAGTTGTGTCCCACTGTTGCCCTCCTGTGACTGTTAGATAAAATGTGATCGTCCATGTGAAAGGGTCTAATGTATACACTCGTCTCAGAGATTATAATCTCTGCTAAAACGGCTTAACGCTTGCATCGATTATCTATCGAACGTAATTTTGTGATTAAATTCTATCTTGTTAGCCTAGAACATTAAAATTGTGGATCAAATCTATGTTGCGGAACCTTCTCGAACGGTATAAAAAGATGACCCTGAAGTTCGCTGATTTCCAACTGAAAAAAACCTTAACATTACATATCTGATAGAGGAATAATAGAATTTGAAAAAAAAATCAATACATTCGACATAACGAATTTTAATCGTGATGAATTCTACATATGGCATTATTTAAAGTGAAAACGGATTTTATTCATCTAAAAATTTCTGAAACCCCTTCACACGGAATATCTCTCTCTAGAATAGAATTACTCAAAATCAAACAATAATCACATTTTAAATTTCGTAAAATCTCGTCATGATATTTTTTTATTCTTACATTTTCTTCGCAGGTAATGAATTAATCCGTTGAGACAGCTCCCCACTTTGGCAAGCTCTACTGTACTCATGAATAATACAATCGACGAAATAAAAACTGTCAAGTTTTTAGAATCAGAGAATCTTCTCGTGATGATTGTTCGATTTTTTTGCCAATTCTTATTGCATGTTATATGCAATACTAATTTCTATAAAAATGATCAACATGGAATGTTTCGCAAACTAATTAACTAAATTTTGAAAAAATGAGCGTAAAGTATTATTCATTCTGGAAGATTAACATGAAGACAATTCAAAATTCAAAATTGTTTTCTATAATTTCATTGACGACAAATGCTGAAATTTACAAAACTGTCGTCTTTGACATCGAATATCTTTTAAAGTCATGATATTAAAAAAAAAATCTGACGTATCACTGTAGGTCCAATCTTCACGTGAAATGATTTTCTTAACGAAAAATGAGAATATAATAGCAATATCTGAAGATATATTCTTATTTACATTAACAAATCCAAACGAGGCTATTTACATATCATTATTTACATTTCAACTCCATTTTTCCTTTGCAAATTGGTATCAATCATGAAGAGATTGTACTCCGAAACATATCTTCATGGAGGAAAATTTCTGTTATTCTCGAACATTGAGAAAAATGGGATGCAAAGATCGCATTTAAAAATGAAATTTTCATTACTCAATTCCTCCTCTTTTAGATTCAAATCAGATAGGCATGTATATTCAGCCCATCTCTCACACGTTTTACACTGTACTCAAGTTTGATTTCTCACCATGGTTTCATCTCTTCCACAATAAAGGCAAAGATCAGCAACATCGGCAGAGTGTAACAGAATTCCTTCTCTGATTTCCTTTCTTTTCTCATTCGGGTCCACGAGTGGATTCATGAGATAAATATTTCCAAGGAGAATTTGATTGATAAAATGAAGCACAAAAAGTCCGCAGTTGTATCCATTAAGCTGCTTCGGATGAGGTTGTACTTCTACCGATCATTCAATTTCCGACGATGGATAAACCTGTAGAACTATAATCAATCAGTATATATCGACCAAAACATGAATACTAGTTTCAGCAGATCCTAGAAATTTTACCTTCTGATAGCACTGAGTGAAATTATGCAGATATTTTTTCGCTCTTCTGTTTAGGACGTCTCGGCCTGGATCGATAAAATAAACTCGGGACTGTGTTACGTCAGCACAGATCAAAATGCAGCCAGAATTGTTAATATTTAGAGGGAGAAGTATTAGGGATTTTTGCTTCTATAAACTCTCAAATTGTCTGTAGAAATTGCGGGGTAACGGTTCCTTATTCATCGTTCCTCCCGATGTAACATATATGTACACTTCACAAGGAACATAAGCCACTCTGTAATTTTCTTGAGAAGATCTTATTAATATCGCAGCCCAGTAGTCAATTATATTATTACTGAGCCAGTCTTTCCCAAATAGAATGCCGTAATCGTCAGACATGATCATTATATTTGCTGTTGGTTTACGCAGAGCATTAGTTAATGCTACGAAGAAAACGCGTGATGGTTTAGCCAAATGATACAAAGCTTCATTTTTTATTGCATGATTTTCATGGAACTTCAAGGTGCGCTGCTCGTGCTTCGCTGCAATTCTTCTGAATATGTTTGCTTCTTGGTATGTACTTCTGGGCTTCTTGGGTTGAGCAATTCCACGTCTCCACTATTCTTCAGATTCTGCATCATCTGGCTCATTAATCCTTTTTTTAGAACGTCTCAGGCAAGTTTTGGGATCGGGTAAATCTAGCTCAGTATAAACGTGGAGCACGCGCTCATGAGTTCGAGATATAGACCTAGAAACTTTCATGTTTTCAGTCATGTCGGATTTCACGATCTTTAAGTGATTTTCAGCAGAAGTATTTATCATGTGCTTCTTCTCAGGAGTCACAAGAATCGACCAAAGAGGTACATATGGGAGAAGATCTTGCAACAATTAATCAGAAAACTCAACTGATTGATATTCATTAATTTCCCTTGTTCCTTACAGTAGTCGATGTCTTTCCTCGTTGTCTCGCGAATTTTGTCGAACTGTTAATAGAATAGACTTCGTTTATACATCGGTCCATTCTCAATGCCCGGGTAATCCACAACTTCATGTTTCATGACAAGTGCTTCTTGAAGTTTTTCACACAGTGGCTGTGCTGACTTAGCGATTCTCGAAAAAGCTTTCATGAGCTCCACAGTTTCAATTGGGCTTTCTAGGATAGTAAGAAAGTCTTTGACATTCATGGTCATCAGCTGGAAATCATCACTGTGGCAAATAACGGAAATCCCTTCCAAGTATATTTTAATTCTCCTATCATCAATTTTCTTCCTATGTAACCATTTCGATACCATCTTCATAAAATGAGCATAACATAAGAAGTGGCGAATAATGTCTGATGATAGTGGAATCTTATTTTGTGTTTCATTATAATTAAGTTCCAAATACTTCAGGACAGTCAAATCATTACAGGCTTTCATGATAGCGTTTACACTATCCCAAGACCAGTCAGTGACGAATGAATCAAATGGAGGCCAGGATACTTCATGGTCTTCCAAATAATCTCGCATTGATTTGCAGAAATCTCTTATTGATTGAGTGGTGTGGTCATTTGTGTTATACTCAAGAATAGGAAAGAGTTTTCTGTTAACATTTACAACACCTGCATAATAATGAATTCTTTTGGAATTTTTAAATGGCTTTCATATAACTGAGCCCGTGGCATCAAAATATATAGTTAAATCTGGATCAGTTTTCAGGAAAGTGATTTGCTGCCTACACCCTAGATATATTTTAAAAGGCGCGATGAATTGTTGAATGTGTGGGTGATTACCATGGGCATTGACAATGTTCAAAATAAGATCAGTGATGTCGTTAGGAAGGTAATCATTTTGTGATTTTTTCTCAGATCTGGCTTTCTGCAGCACACCGAGAGTGTGTGAAAATTTGTAATTGTTTTCGTGGCGGGCAAGAGGTTTATCCATGACGTGAGTGAGTTCTTCATGAAGTCTATGAGGCAGGGCCAATATCAATTTTTCTTTGAAATCTTCACGATCTACCTACCTCTACCTCGTAATTAATATTCCAGAGGTTCACTCGGTTCTTCATAAATATCAATCAGAGTGTAAGTTTTTTGTATCTCACCTGTTATTTTAAAACGTTTTTCGCAATTGGGTTGCCTGCATGATGTCAAATCCGAGAATCTGTTATCATTACGAGGTTTGTTGCCATTGAAACGTAGAGGACAAGTTACTTTCATTGCGTTTGGTAATTAATTTCTCAAAAACCTATGAAATTTTTGTGAAAGATAACTGGCCATTGTGAATAACTACCTCATTCCTCGAATTCAGTGAACCAATGTACTGATAATGTCTTCTATAGTGTGTCCGTTGAATTGTCAATTTACCAGGCCCCTTACTTACAGCTTCCGACGATACATCATCACTCACTCCACTTGCAGATGGTTTTGCACCAGAGGTACGATTACGATTACGCAATGGAAGATGCGATTTTTTAGCATTCTTTCTTCGCTGTTCCAACTCGTCATTCACACTAGTTCTCAGGCCACGAAGATTATTACGCGAAGATTATTACGCCACGCGAAACCTAAGTTCGTGCGAAATTTCTCCTGCTGTTTTTTCCGAATCTTGAGATAAACATAAATTTTTTCAAAATTTCCCTTTTGGGCCGGACCATTCTTTACCTCAGCAATATCCTCAGCAAATTTCATTATCGCCTCTTTCGCTTCACTATCGTTGAATCTCATCCTTGTTTACTGTTCTATCCTTCATAATAGTTATTTTCCAATTAGTCTGAGCAATATTTGCGCAGCTTGAGAGATATTTTTATGAATTTATAAAGGATCAACTATGGCGACGCGTAAGTAAAAGAAAAACAATTGCGGAAAGGGGGGGGGGGGGTGGAGTGATTCAGCTGTATGATGTACTACCCCGTGTATAATTCTTGATGTAATTAGTCAATGTTATCGAAAAAAATTGTGAAATTTTGAAAAACCCAAGGACCGCATGCAAATTGCATGGTGAACTCCCGGTTTCATTTGAATATGGCACAGGTAGCGCTACCAGTGCAACGCGCGCACCGCGAGCAGGCAGTATGTCGCAGATGCCATAACATTTATGTGAGGTTAGCCGAAATCTATCATAGAGTATCTTCTTTCTTTACAGGAAAATGCCTTATTCTTGCCAATTATTCATCTACTTGAGAAAAGTATTGATATGTTCAAAATCGTTTTTCTCCAACCGAATCATTTCCAGACGATGCCGATCAGGTTTCAATTATG